CGCTCATTTTTTCACAGCGTGACTGAATGGGTAGCCACGAGGCTGTGGAAGCTATAAAACTCCTCACCTTTGACCTGCACCTCAGCTCACTTTGTCCATGTGGGAGTGTTGGCTGCGTCGAATGAGCAGACTGTATGGGGGATCCTCAGCTGTCTGCCCTCCGTCTGTCTACCCCCTTCTTAAACACAGAGACACACACAAACACACACACAAACACACACACACACACACACACACACACACACACACACCCACACACACCAGATGCTCGCATGCCAACAAAGGCACACATGGATGTTTGCATACCCATACATGCACTCAAACTGGCAAATTTCATTCCAGAAGACAGACAGACTTGCATCCAGCACTATCAGTGTTTTGGTTTGAGCTTTAGATTGTTAGCTTTGCGTCTGTCTGTTACTTTGCAGAAACATAGACAGCTTGGATACATCGGGCTAATTTCGTTGTGTTCAGAGCCATTTAAGTAGAGGAATGACGTGTCTATGAACACACAAGAAACCCATCTGCTGGGTCATGACCCCTGCTAGAGCAACCAATCATAGTAGCAACTAGCTGACAAAGCACCAATCACAACAGAGAGACAGACATAAAGGGCTTAGCAACAATAGAGGCACACGCCAGCTCTGCAGACGGTCCACTCCTACTAAAACAGAAAAATACCCCTTCACAGATGTTCACAAACACACACGCATTCATACTAGTGAGACAATTTAGAACAATGGGAGGGTGCTCATCAATATCAATGTCAAGCCATAACTAGAAAACTGGTGAGGTCACATGCTTGCTTAATACCCACTGAGGCAATAAAGGTCGACGACACCAGTATGCACCAGTTGACTGTGACCTAAAATTCAAGCTTATGCATCAATACTTAACCCACAGCCACTAGTGGTGTCAGATGACGTCACTTTTCCCACAGTACTTTATTGCAGAGCAGCGCTGTGTTACACAGTGCAACCTGAGGAGGGCGATACAAGTCCCTGCTAAGTTGGAGAAACTGATGGAGGTCCAGTCTGCATCTGCAAACACACCATCATCCTATATGTGGCACCATGTTGTGTTGTGACTGTGGTTTTTCTAAAGATTCTGTAGAGTCAACAAAGGGTGTGAAGATGGCTGCTCCCTTGTAATACCGCCATATGGATTTCATACTCATTATAGTGGGGCAGTTAAATCTGTGATGAAAGATAAGGGTGAGATTTTTACCTTAACAAAAGAGCTAAGCTAGTTCTTGTTACAGTCTCCTCTCCATCTGTCCTACACTTGCCCGTCTGCAAATCCTCTCATCACTTTCCTTCCTGTTTCTCTATTTTCCCCTCATAAAGGCAGCAGTATGCACTATACAACAAAGCATTCTTATGTTAATCAGGTAGTCATTATAAAGACTCCTGCGGTGTAATTTGTTACAGATGATCTTTCACTATACTTTTTGTACCACTGACCCAACCTCCTGTGTGCAAACACAAATTCAATCTCACACTCATCAGTAAATAAACCCCAAAACAGTCTTTGTGTAAGTCCTGATATCTCATTTCCTGTTGTAACAACCAGCCCTCATAACAGTTACATGGATCATTTAGTCAATATCAGATCTAGTATGTTTATGCAACACACATGCTGAAAACTTCCTGTTTGTTTATAATGGCGTTTGGTGAAGAACTGTTGCATTTCTGAAAAGTATGAAGGCTCTTTGATATGTTTCAGGATCAAAAAAATGCTGCGTGTTTTCTCTCAGGCTTGAAACAGCTCCTTCCAGTGATCTATGAGATATCTAACAGCTGTTTTCACAATATTAATCTTTACACATGAAATCAGTTGTTTGCTTTTCATTTGTTGAATGTGATTGGTCAGGGAGAATTGAATATATCTTTGTGTAGTTTGGATCTGAAAGCTTTAAACAGTAAGATCTTTTCACTTTGCCTAAATATGCAAATCTGTGTCGAGATGTATCTGTTGTTTTTGCTTTATACATCTTTATTACTTTATGTGGCAGAAATATTTGCATGTTATGCCATATTGGACCATTTCATAAAGAAAAACATCCATCATGGAAATCTGGTTGAGAAAAAAAAATCTATATAATTGTGTTGATTTTCTTTTGGCTGTGGGTAAAACCAGAGTGGCATCAGAAGTTCTTCTAAGCAGTGTTCAGTGGGAAGAAAGGGATACCCACTAAACTCATTAGGTGTGGGTTATAATTGAAAACATTTCAATATATCATGTAGATTGCCAGCCTTTATTACTTGTGTTTATGTTATATTTAAAAATACTTTGATGTTCTTTTTAAAACTTCAGTCTGTTCATGTATTCACTTCTTACACATATTAGTTCACACATGTTAACTATGTTTAAATGTAGTTAGCTTCAGAGTTTCTTCTCCATACTTCAATCAGTAGGTTTCTGTCTACATTCATATTTTCTCATCCTGCTTCCAATGTAACAACCTTCTCATCCTGACTTGTATCACCTCTTCTCACCTCCTCTTCTCTGTTTTCTCTCTCAAGAGGGAAGTGGAGGAGGATGAGAGAGGCAAGGAGCTAGGTCTGACAGCCTTTGAAGAGGCTTTTCTCTGTAGGCTGGAATTTTTAGGACAAGCTCAGCACAGGACACATACGCTCACTCTCTCTCTCTCTCACTCACACTCACACACTCACACACACACACACACACACACACACACACACACACACACACACAGTTTCTGGATCATTTGCATAATTTCTAATTAGTAAGTTTATAAGTGAGGGACAAAAATAGAGACGGAGGAAGTATGAAAGTACACTGAGGAGAAGATAAAGTGCACCCATGTACCGGTGTTTATGACAGGGGAGTAATCTCTCATAGCAAAGGGTGTAAGGTGATAATTTGATATACTAGCTGTCTGTGTGCTGCTCAGACCAGCTGAGACTCACAAAGAAGACAAGCCTAAATCTACAAATACTCCTTCTCCTCTTTCTCCCCAGACTCAATTGTGTCTTTGTCACAACTAGTTCTGGAGACCTGCTTGGTAACTTTGTGTGTGTTTTTTTGTGGTGCTTTTTGTTCTACTCCTGTGAGAACCATACAACACTCGATATGTTGTATGTGCTACCATGATTAATTTGCATGTGTGTGTCTGTTGGTGTGCTGGATTAATCTGCATTTTTTTTCTCCTCGACATTCACGTGTGGATTTACTGATGTTTTTTGAGGATTGGAGTTTCTGAATAAACATCAAGCATAAAATAACAGCAAACACAATCTCCCACTGACCTATATAATTCAAAATGGCTGCTGCTGCACAGCTGTCCTCCCACACATGAGAGTGAGGAGTGCTAAAGGATAGATTGAGGGAATGAGAGAAAGCCAGGCTGCTGCTGGTGCCTGTGTGGGAGGAAAGGAAAAGACGGTAAGCAGGTAGAAGAATAAAAACGAAAGCATCCTCAGGGCACGATCTGTCACGCTTGTTCTGTTTCTCTGTCTGTCCATGTGTATCTAATCTCTTCTCTCTGCTTCCAGTATTCCTCATCTATATAAATAATATATACATAACTTCCTATTTGTGTCACTTCAAGTCCTCCCCTTGCAGCTTTTCCTCATCTGACTCAGTTCCTTCTTCGGTCTCATTTTCATTCATCCCTGTCTCTTTAATCTTCCCACAGTATGAATCATCCCGCTTTTCATGGTGTCTTACCCCTTTTTACTCTCCCCTCCTCATTTTACACACACATTCTCCATTTCTGCATTTTATCATCCCGCTTTTCCTTCCTCCATGCATTTCTACACTTTCTCCAGTTTTTTCACCGCTTAAGACCACGTTGTGCGTAATCTGACATTAGAAGTGAGTTGCTCCAAATATGACGCTAATCCACATACATGCACAGCCCCACTACTCGTCTTTGTCTGTGTGTGTGTGTGTGTGGGGGGGGGGTTATTATAGGTACATACTTGTGAATGCGTTTGCATCTTAGTGGCTGGTTTGTTAACTAATTAAACCATTATATTTGAATTGCAGAATGGTTGCAGATTTCATCATAGTATTTATTTGATATGTCACCTCATGGCATGCGCTGATGTTTCTTATGGGTTTGGTATGATTAAAAATGATGTCTGACTTTGTTGCGTTGTCTTTGTTTCTTTGTTCTTGTCAGCCAACCACCGACGAGCTGGAAATGTGGTGACCAACATTCTGGCCAAAGAGCTGATGCAGGAAGATAAGCCTTCATTGGGTAAACCTTCTGCAAAAAAGTTAAAGTCAGATGATAAAGTGGAGCCAAAACTAGAAGAAGCAGAGTCATTAGAGGACTTGCTTGAGTCTGCGACTTCTCGGTCTAATTAGGTACCCAGGTAGAAGTTTGTTTTTCTTTTTTTCTTTGTTTAGTTTTGATTTTTTTTTTTTAACCTATACAGCCAGTCTATCTAAAGTCAGATTTATCTTTCTTAGGCATTCCAGGGGCCAATAATCATCTGCTATTAGTTTACTGAATAATGGCCTGCTTTCTTTTCCATAAATGTCTTAAAAGGACAGTCTTTTAAAATAACATTGTTTTTTGAGACGACAGAGAGATGCAGAACTTAAGGGCGGGGCTCTCACCTCAGTTTCAACCTCTGCATGGTCTTCACCAGCCTTGAGAACTCTGACACTGTCATAAAGATTGAATTGCTTTTTCCATCACATGCACATAAGGTGTTCATGTTGTTTTGTTTTGTTTTGTTTTTGTTTTTTTTCTGTTTCTCTTTATTTCTACATCACTCGGTTCACCTGTCACTCAAAGGACATCTTTAGCCATTCCAAAGACTTACTCAGGAGGATCCACTTTGTTTCTTTTATCTTTCTTCCCCTTCTTTTTTTGGTTATTCCCAGATTTAGACTGAGAATGTGTAGATTTTGGCACATCCTGCATCATCTTGTCAGGATGTTCCAGCCAAGACCACTTTGCTGTTTGTTTTTTGTTGATGTTTTCTGTTTTTAAAGAGATGAAACAATTTTCTTTGTAATTATTTGTTATTCCGTATGTTACTGCTTGTAATCATTTTACTGTATTATTCAAAGTGCCAACTGATAGAAATCCAGTCTTATCATTTCACTTCTGGGTTTAATACGGTCACAGTTTGCACTGGTCCTGCCTGACACCTCATCAACAGCAGTTATCACCTGGGTTTATATTTCAGCATGTTCTTTAGCGAGAAAGGGCATAGCGCACAGGTGTCCGTGTGCTTAAAGGGAGGGATTAATTATATAAACTTGTCTGTTACCATATGTGCCCATATCATTTATATGAAACATGAACATGATTATTCACACAAAATCTAAGGCAAGATAGTCGACAGCAAAAATGTTCTTCCACAGAGTCCAACCAAAACAAATATTGCTTTTTCAGAGGGTGTTTCCATGCACACCCAGCCTGAGCAGTTCACATGCCTGTGTGTTTGTATATGAAAAAGTCTGTGTGAAGTAGCTGCCTATATTTAGTCAGTTTCCTACATGTGTGTTTGTGCTTGTAAGTTTGTATGTACTGCCATCTGTAATTACTGTATGGTACCGACCATGCTGTCATAAATGTTAGGTTTCATGAACAGCGTTTCGGTCTTTCTGCTGAAGATAAAGCATACTGGAAAACTGCCCAAAAACTGCTGAGATATACGTGTGCGTGCATGCGTGCACGCTTGTTTCCCTCCCACTGAACTGCAGCAGTAGTTTTTGAATGTCTGGCTGCGTTTCTATTTGTTTTCAGCCATCAGCATACATGTTGCCATGATGTTGTGGTGTACTATTTGACAGGAATCTGGTGAGATGATGTAAGCTGCTCCATGCAATATTTATTACTATGCAAGCACATTATTGTAGCGCGCTCCCCAGACGTGATACCTAGTCAGTCTCAGGATGTACAAACCGCTGGCACACCTCGCACACTCTTGAATAAACCTGCTGGTTCAAGGTCAGTGCTTCATGGCAGTGATGACTGAGAAAAATCCTTTTAGCTCCAAAACTTCATGACATCACCAGTATCGTTATTCCATCTTCCTATAAGAATGTGCCGTCTTTGGACAAAATGATAATTAAACACAAAAGGAAATAAGATGACGCACTGGAGCGCTTCCAGTGATGGTGCATCATTTTTTTTTATCAAATAACACTGAGAATAACAAATATTTTGTTGCGCCTCATCTCAAGCACAAATATGTCGTAGCTGTATTTAAATGGTTGACACGGTTGCTGTTTTAATGTCCGCAATATTTTGCCTATGACTTCAAGTGCACACCTGTAGATTGATTGTGTGTAATGCACCCTGAAAAACAAATGTTTTTGAAGTGAGGAGCAAGGGAAAACTAGAGGAGGTAAACGATGTCACTGGAATATTTTTGCAAATTTGAGTTTTTCCTTTTCTCAACAAGTCCTTTTTCTTTTTTTTTCTTTTTTTTTTTTTTTTAGATATTGTTTTCTATGTAAATTTTAAACGATTATTTTAATGTAATTTTTTTCCCAGAGATTTCTGTATGGCTATATAACAATGCACCCAGTTGTCGTTTGTTACACTGAACTATTATTAAAAATGTCTTAAATAATTTATCGGTGTGTGTGTCCTTTTTTTTTCTTTATGTCGTTCGTGTAATTTCCAGCTTGGTTCTATTCCTGTATGATTGCCAAAATAAACTCTCTTCGGTGCACTTTGGCCGATGCTACTTTCTCCTCCGCTCCTCCCCTCTCCTCCTGATGTAAACACATTGGGCAGTAAAGCATCAGACAGGCACTGCACTCTGATACTGCAATTTTATTGCCAAAAAGCAGCAAAAGAATGAATAAACAGTGGAGTTAGTTATTTTTACAGACAAGTCTCAGGATTTTCCATGGCTTCAGGGTTTCCACAAAAACTTTCCAACAGTATTCTGCTAAAATTGCCAGTACACGGCAAGATCTCTATGTGCATGTCTTAAAGATGCAGAGGACAGTTGATGTCATGTTTTGTTTTTTTGTTGTTGTTTTTTTGGAGGGGGGGGGTCCCTTTTTGCACCCTGTTTTTATTTGTTTTGACCCACGTGGTGCAGAGTATTTATTTTTTCTGTTCATTCACATGTTAAGGTTTTATTCCACCACAATGCAGCTTAAATTGAATCATTTAGACCTATTTATCATTTATCAGACTTTATACAGTTTTTCCACAAAGACTTTTAAGGGTTGGCCAAGTGACGATGGAAGAAATAAAGTGCCTTTAAACTCTCAAAGTTGGTTAAAGTTGTTTATTTGCCTCCCCCCCCTTAAAAAAAAATTTTTTTTTAATAAACTGGTAGATTTTTGCAGGCCATATACAGTGCAAGTCAATGTGATCAAAACTGTAAAGAAATGACCAAAACAGGGTAACCTGGGCAATACTGAACAAAACAACTGAGTGATTCATTAACAATAATCATGATGAATATAATATGGGTGGCATGGCTATCAGCTTTAATCAGTTTTTTATAACTTTTGGACCACATGTGGCAAGAAAAATAACTTATCCTGAGAAGACTGAGGAAAAGCTTGATACTGTGATAGATGGAAATCTTTGTCAATGTTTAAAATGGACAGTTTGACAGGTTGTGAAATTAGATTGTTGCTCCTCGTGTATGGACATCATACCCTGGGGTCAGTGTTGGGTTCTAAATTTATACATCAATAACGTGTAATGTCTCCCAAGTGCTAAAAATGGCACTTTTTGCACTTTTCTGCTCAGCTGATGATTTGCAGCATTTACAAAATAATTAAATGGAAGATCTGGCTTGATAAAAATAAATTATCATTAACTACGATAAATTAATGGGGTTGATATTGAACGGGTCAGTGAAACCAGATTTCTAGGGGTACAAATAGATGAGGTTCTGTTTGAAAGCACACATTAAACATACTATTCTGAAGCATTACAGTATTAGACCATACGTCTCTCATGTTTCCTAATTTTACCTGGGACAGTAACTATAAAAGAGCATTACATTCCCTTTTTATTCTTCGTCTATTTGGGTATCTCAGTATTAACTAAGTAGTTGAGAAAGGGGTGGGGTGGGGATAACGTTACTGAAAACACAACTCTTCACCAAGGTGCACCCTATTTCAGTTGGGCACCTGACAGGACAACCACCGCTTCAACTCGCATCCGTATAGCTATTAGCCCCTCCCACTCCAGGAAACGATAGCTGCTGGCTTTCCTCTGTTGTTGTTGTTGATGATGATGAAAAACTGTGGATTTATTAAATTAAATATAATCACAGAATAAACATGATCTCCAACTATTTCTGTTACTCCAAACATAGCCTCCTCCATACCACACTTACACAGGGGTTTGTCTATAAACAGGAGCCCAAATGGGGGAGAACTGTTTTGGCATTGATAGGTATACTCTGTGTCGTGTCAGATGTTCCATGGCCTCAAGACAAGGACATGTGAAGACCTCTAAGCAGACTTTCATGTACGACATCAGTTGAGTTTCCCTCTAAGATGGCGACTCTAAATCCTTGGGAGGAAGAACACCAGCTTGTATCTCCATCTCATTTTCTGTTGGACATCAATACTGACTCACGGAGGTAAACTATAAATTATGACCTCGTGTATGACCTCCCCTATGAGTGGCCTGGTGTGGGGGAATGCCTTAAAAATTCATCTGTATCATACAAGCTATTCAGATGTATATGGAAGAAATATAGTGTCATCAGAATTCAAGTATTTTTAGACATTGAATTTATGACACTGAATTTTTATCCTCCAAATTTCCCTGCAAAAATATTCACCTGCAAAAATTCACCTGCAAAAATTCACCTGAAAAAAATTCACCTGCAAAAATTCACCTGAAAAAAATTCACCTGCAA